AATAGGGGTGGATCTTCCATCAAATCCCGCCCCCTACATCCCACTGGGTGATGCGTATGCTAGTCATCCCTCCCTTAGCCAATAGTGGCGGTCCCGCCTTTTATGGAAGACGGCGGACGCAAAAGTTGAAGGGTGCGAGTGAAGTCAATCATTTTCAAGTTCAGCCAATGGTGGCGAAGCTACCATAAAATCCCGCCCTCATCTCCACCAGGGAGGTTCTGTTAGGATCTAACACACAGCAGGTACCTCTAGGTCCTAGGTTCGAATCCCAGCCCCCTCAATGGAATGCGATAATTATTTGAAACTAAATATATTTAACCCTAGTTACAAGCAATTAAACCATTAGTTTGTGAAGCGAAAACTAGCCCCTAACGGTTCAAACTCTCTGAATAAACAGACTCCCACTGAACTCCATGATCTTTCTGTGCCAGGAGGGACTTGTTGGATCACTTCAGACCCCACAAGGAAAAGATTTAACATAACTGAAAGGGTCACAACATGCTTCATAGCTTGTATACACTGAACTTACTGCACATCCTAAAAATTCCTTGCATCTCTATTGAAAGCTCTGTGAACCTTCCTTTCTCCCTTACTTCCTCAACAAAGTCCCCCATTTCTATTCCCCTGGAAGGAACTTTGTGCCTGCTATTTCCACCTGCCTCTTTCCCAGTTAAGCAACTTAAAAATAGGCCCAGCAAATGGCTATTAGCCAAGATGGTCTTATATCTCCCAGGAACTTATCTAGAGGTTTTTTTAAACCCATTATAATTTCTGCCTTCTTACATCACCTGGCAATGGGTGCCATTGGCTGAAGTAGTACTTCTTTTTGTTTTAAGTCTACTGCCTATTGAAATCTCCTGGTTCTTGTGTTTGTGAAGGAATTAATAACATTTCCTTATTCACTTTCTCCCCACGACTCCCAATTTCATACTCCTCTGTCATATCCCTTTTTAGTCATCTCTTTTCTAAGTTGAAAAGTCCCAGTCTTTTGAATCTCACTTCAGATAGAACTTACCTCCCAGACAGAAAGCAGATAAACAGCATATTGTCAACATGCCAAATTCCAAATTGAGAAAATGAACAAAGATGAAGTCCCGTATTACCATTGTTTGAGCAACAGACAATTGCTGTGGTGCTCAGAGGCAATGGAATATTTTTATAGTAGGTGTACTGAATGCCATTGAACAAAACGGCAAACCCTGTAAATGAGTTTTTTAACCCATTGTTGATTCCTCCAGCACTTGTACCAGGAAGTTTTTGGAGAATGTTGGGGATAACTTCCTGGTACAAGCGTTGACGGAACCAACCAGGGGCCATGCTCAGTTTGATCTGCTACTCACAAACGGAAAGGAATTAGTAGGGGAAGTAGATGACCTGGGAAGCAATGATCATGAGATGATTGAATTCAGGATCCTGAACAAAGGAAGAAAAGAGAGCAGCAAAATACAGACTCTGGACTTCAGAAAAGCAGAGTTTGACTCCCTCAGGGATCTGATGGGCAGAATCCCCTGGGATGCTAACATAAGGGAGAAAGGAGCCCAGGAGAGCTAGCTGCATTTTTAAAAAGCCTTATTGAAGGTGCAAGAACAAACGATCCCAATGCACAGTAAGAAAAGCAAATATGGTAAGCAACCAGCTTAGCTTAACAGTGAAATCTTTATCAGGCGTAAACACAAAATGGAAGCTTACAAGAAGTGGAAACATGGACAGATGATTTGCTTGAGCATACAGGGGGTGTAATCAGGAAAACCAAAGCACAATTGGAATTGCAGCTAGCAAGGGGTGTGAAAGGCTTCTAAAAACATCTTAGCAATATGAAGGTGATCAGGAAAGGTGTGGGACCCTTACTGAATGAGAGCAGTCACTTAGTGACAGATGATGTGGGAAAAGCTGAAGTACTTGATGCTATTTTGCTGCTGTCTTCACAGACAATGTCAGCTCCCAACCTACTGTACTGGACAGTATGGAGAGGAAGTTGGCAGCCCTCAGTGGAGAAAGAACAGGTTTAGAACTATTTAGAAAAGTGGGACACACTCAAATCCAAAGGGCCGGATCTAATACATCTGAGGATACTGAGGGAGTTGGCAGATGTAATTGCAGAAACATCAGCCATTATCTTTGAAACCTCATGGTGATCAGGGGAGGTTCCAGACAATTGGAAAAAGGCAAATACAGTGCCTGTCTTTAAAAAAGGGAAGAAGGAGAACCCATGGAACTACAGACAGGTCAGCCTCACCTCAGGTCCTAGAAAAATAATGGCAGGGATCCTAAAGAAATCAATTTTGATGTACTTAGAAGAGGAGACAGTGATAAGAACAGTCAACATGGATTCACAAATGTCAAGTCATGCCTGGCCAACCTGATTGCCTTCTGTCATGTGGTAACTGACTCTGTGGGTATGGGGAAAGTAGTGGACATGAGATACCTTGACTTTGGCAAAGCTTTTAATACAGTCTCCCAAAGTATTCTTGCCAGCAAGTTAAGGAAGTATGGATTGGAGAATTGGACTATAAGGTGGATAGAAAGCTGGCCAGATTGTTGGGCTTAATTGGCAGTGATCAGTGGTGGTTGGTATTGAGTGGAGTGCCCCAAGGGTTGTTTCTGGGGCTGGGTTTTTTTTCCAACATATTTATTAATGACCTTAATGAGGAGAGGCTGACAGATTTGGGTTGTCTACAGAAGAGAAGAATGAAGGAAGATTTGATAGCATCCTTCAATTTCCTGAAAGGAGGGGTTCCAAAGAGGATGGGGAGAGGCTGTTCTCAGTGGTGGCAGATGACAAAACAAGGAGCAATGGTCTCAACTTGCAGTGGGGGAGGTCTAGGTTGGATATTCAGAAAAACTATTTCACTAGGGTGGTGAAGCGCTGGAATGGGTTTCCTTGGGAAGTGTTGGAATCTCCATCCCTAGAGATTTTTATATCCTAGTTTGACAAAGCCCTGGTGGGATAATTTAATTGTGATTGATCCTGCTTTTAGTGGGTGGTTGGACTTGATCTCCTGATTCTCCAACTCTATGATTCTCTGAAGGAAATCACTTCAAGCCAGGGGATGCTGCTGCACCCCAACACCTCTAGTTTCAGTACCACTGGTGGCACAGGACACTGTGGCTGTGCTATCAGATTATGTCCATTCCACCCCCACCTCCAACCCCAAATTTTGCCCATTTGGTTTTCTCCAAAGAACTCAAATGTGAAATTGTGGAACTATTCACTGTGGTTTGTAACCAATCCTGTAAATCAGCTTCTGTACCTAATGACTGGAAGATAGCTAACGTGCCACCAATATTTATAAAGGGCTCTAGAGATGATCCTGGCAATTACAGACTGGTAAGTCTGACATCAATACCGATTAACATAATTTGTTGGGGAAAAGTCAACATGGATTCTGTAAAATGAGATCATGTCTTATTAATGTACTAGAGTTCTTTGAAGGGGGGAAAAACATGTGGACAAGGGGAATCCAGTGGATCTAGTGTACTTAGATTTCCAGAAAGCCTTTGACAAGGTCCCTCACCAAAGGCTCTTAAGAAAGGTTAGTTGTCATGAGATAAGAGAGAAGGTCCTCCCACGGACTGATAACTGGTTAAAGAACAGGAACAAAGGATAGGAATAAATGGTCAATTTTCAGAATGGAGAAAGGTAACTAGTGTCCCCTAAGGGTCTGTCCTGGGACCAATCCTATTTAAACTATTTATTATTTATCTGGAGAAAGGGGTAAACAGTGAGGTGGCAAAATTTGCAGATGATACTAAACTGCTCAAGATAGTTAAGACCAAAGCAAACAGTGAAGAGCTTCAAAAAGATCTCACCAAATTAAGTGATTGGGTGACAGAATGGCAAATGAATTTCAATGTTGATAAATGCAAAGTAATGCACATTGGAAAATAATCCCAACTACACATGCAAAATGTGTAGGGACTAATTGAGTTATAACTACTCAAGAGAGAGATCTTGGAGCCATTGTGGATAGTTCTCTGAAAAATATCGACTCCATGTGCAGCGGCAGTCAAAAAAAGGCAACAGAATGTTAGGAATCATTAAAAAAGGAATAGCGAATAAGAGCAGAGAATATCTTGTTGCCTCTATATAATCCATGATACGACCACAACTTGAATACTGGGTACAGATGTGGTTGCCTCATCTCAAAAAATAGATATTGGCATTGAAAAGGTTCAGAAAAGGGCAAAAATGTTTGGAACAGGTGCCATATGAAGAGAGATTAAAAAGACTGGGACATTTCATCTTAGAAAAGAGGAGACTAAAGAGGAGGGGATATGATAGAGGTCTATAAAATCATGATAGGTATGGAGAAAGTGAATAAGGAATGAGAAAGT